CACAACAGAAACAGTGAGACACCCACACATACATACACTGAGCCGGGCTGACACACACACACACACAGACAGACAAACTGAGCCGGGCTGACACACATAGATACGCACACGCACACAGACAGACTCTATATATCGGTTTTTATTAACAGTGAGAACCTCTATATAGACAAAGCACACAGTCACTACACTTTATAATTGATTCTGTGAGAGAGAGACAAGAATAGTGAAAGTCTCACACACACACACAGATACATCCACAGACACACACACTCGCACAGACACGCAATCAGACACACCGTTACATACACAGTCGCTCACACACACAGACCCACACACAAACTCACACAAATAAGCATCCGCACACAAATGCACACAAAGACACACACACAGAGACACACACACTAACAAACACACAAACACACAGTTACACCTCTGTATGGTCTGATATTAACAGTGAGATCCTCTATCTAGACAAAGCACACAGTCACTACATTTTACAATGTTCCTGTAGAGAGAGAGAGACAGAGAGTGTGAGACAGACACACACACAAACACCCACACAGACATGCATACAGAGACACACACAGACACACACAAACACTGAGCCGGACTCATACACACACACACACACAGACATACACACAGAAAGATGCACAGACACACACACACACACACACAGATAGATAAACACACACACGGACACACAGAAAGACAACTCTGTCTGTTCTATTGTTATCAGTGAGATCCTCTATACAGACAAAACCCAGTCACTACACTTTACAGTGTATCCGTTGGAGAGAGAGACAGAGTGTGAGACAGACACACAGAAACACACACACACACACACAAAGATTCACATACACAGATACAAAGACATACAAACACATATAAACACAAACACACACACAGACACATACATGTAGGCACACTTATACACACAGACATACATACACTGAGCCGGGCTGATACAAACACATTGACACGGACAAACACACACGCAGACGCACAGACACGCACCCACAGACACGGTGACACCGCTATATAGTCTGATATTAACTGTGAGAACAATGAAAACACAAAGTCACTACACTTTGCAAACACACAGGCACAGACACACACACAACCACACATAGTAACAGACACAGACACACACACATCGACAAACATAGACACAGACATACACAAACATACACAGAATGAGTGAACACACCATCACATACGTACACTCAGCCGGACTGACACAAAGATACACACACACACTGAGAATCTCTGTATAGACAAAACACATAGTCACTACAGTTTACAGTGTATTCTGTGAGAAGAGAGACAGAGAGACGGACGGAAGGACACACACACTTACACAGGCAAAGGCACAGTGACACCTCTACATAGTCTGGTATTAACAGTGAGAACCTCTATATAGACAAAGTACACAGTCACTACACTTTATAATTGATCCTGTGAGAGACAGAAATAGTAAGACAGACTCACACACGCACACACACACACACGTACCCCCAGAGAAACATACACACACACAGATGCGCACACCCAGTCGCACACACACAGATAAACTCACACACAGACACGCAATCACTTACACACACAGACAAACATATACAGATACACACACCGACACAGACAGACACACATACACAGACAAACACACAAACACACACACTCACACGCAGACACAGACACAGGCACACAGACACATAGATACGGACACACAGAGAAACAGTGAGACACCCACACATACATACACTGAGCGAGGCTGACACGCACTAACACACACACACAGATACTGACCCGGGCTGACACAGATTGACACATACACAGTCACACACATACACTCTATACATAACCTTTTATTAACAGGGAGAACCTCTCTATAGATAAAGCACACAGTCACTACACTTTACAGTGTATCCTGTTAGAGAGAGAGACAGAGAGTGTGAGACAGATACAGTCACGACAACAACGACAACAGCAACTTGGATTTATATAGTGCCCTCCACGCCGGACGGCGTCTCAGAGCGCTTCACAGTAACGGATCCCTGGGCCGAGCCGGGGGAGGGGCCGGGGCCAGGGGGAGGGGCCGGAGAGAGTGGGAGGGGCCGTTGAGAGGGGGAGGGGCTGGGGGAGGGACTGGGGGAAGGGTTGGGGGAGGAGCTGGAGGAGGGGGAGGGACCAGGGAGAGGGGTGAAGGTGACCAAAGCCGCCGTCCAAAAGAAAAGTCTTCAGCAGAGACCAGGAAATGGGAAGGGAGGGAGTGAGACAGAGGGAGTGAGGAAGGCAGTTCCAGAGCCTCGGAGAGTAGTGACTGATGGCACAGCCGTCGAGGGTGGAGCGGAGGATTCGGTGGACGAGGAGGTCAGACCCAGTGGAGCGAAGGCAATGGGCACTGTTGTGACACACACATACACATATACACACGCACACACACATACATGAACATAGACACACACAAAAGACACTGAGCCGGGCTGACGCACACAGGTACACACATAGATACCCACCTACACACACAGGCGTAGACACAGTAACACCATTATGTAGTCTGATATTAACAGTGAGAACCTCTATATAGACAAAGTACACAGTCACTGCACTTCACAGTGTATCCTGTGAGAGGGATAGAGAGAGAGATAGACACGTGCACACACACACAAAGACACACACACATACGCAGACGCACGCACACAGACACAAACTGATAAACAGACACACATACACAGACACACACAAACAGAGCCGGGATGACACATACACACAAACACAAGCACAAACAGACAGACAGACACACATGCACACATTCATGGAGCCGGGCTGACACACACAGACATACACAAACACACGAAACATACACACATAGACACAGACACACACACACTCAGAGACACATCCACATACACTGAGCTGGGCTGGCATTTACACACACAGACACACACACAGATACAGTGACACCTCTTTATAGTCTGCCATTAATTGTAAGAATCTCTATGTAGACAAAATGCAGTCACTACACTTTAGTGTCTTATATGAGAGAGAAAGACAGAGTTCGTGAGACTGACACATACACACCCAGACACACACACCCAGACACACATACACACATACACAGTCACAGTTTCATCTCTATATACTCTGATATTAACAGTAGGAACCTCTATATTGACAAAACACAGTCACTACACTGTACAGTGCATCCTGAGAGAGAGAGAGAGAGAGAGAGAGACAAAGACTGAGAGACAGACAGACACACACACACAGACACAGACACACACGCATAAACACTGATAAAAACAGACAGGCACACACAGACATACGCACACAGACATACGCACACACACAAAATACAGATAAACACAAACACATACGCACAGACACACACACAAACAGGCACACACAGACACACACACACAAACAGGCACACACAGACACACACACACAAACAGGCACACACAGACACACACACACAAACAGGCACACACAGACACACACACACAAACAGGCACACACAGACACACACACAAACAGGCACACACAGACACACACACACAAACAGGCACCACAGACACACACACACAAACAGGCACACACAGACACACACACACAAACAGGCACACACAGACACACGCACACAAACAGGCACACACAGACACACGCACACAAACAGGCACACACAGACACACACACAACAGCACACACACACACACACACACAGGCACACACAGACACACACACACACACACACACACATGCACCGATACATAAGCGCACAAAGACATACACAAACAGACAGACGCACAGATGCGCACACACACATACACTCAAACACAGACACAGTAACATAGACATTAACATTATCTGTGAAAGAGAGACTGTGTGAGACATTGTGTGTGTGAGAGTGTTCGTGCAACAGAGATTGCGCGTAATAGAGCGCGTGAGATAGAAAGTGCACTCGGGAGAGTGTACACCGAAGATAGAGAGACTGTGAGCGAGTGTGAGGGCGACATGATGTTCGCATTGAGAGAGTGCGGATAGACAGAGTTTGCGGAGGAGAGAGAGAGAACGTGAGAATACGCGCGTGAGAGAGATTGTGCGCTCCAGAGGAGGAGCGCAGATCAGAGAGAGACTGCACCACAGTGTGTGAATGGGAGAGAGTGCAGGAGCCGGAATTCATGCGATAGATTGTGAGTGATAATGTGGTGCGATAGAAAGTGCGGATGAGAGAGAGACTGCGCGACAGTGCACGAGAGAGTGTGCGAGCAACAGACATTTCGCGCGATAGAGTGCAGGAGAGAGAGTGTTCCCACCAGGAATTGTGCGACATAGATTGTGCGATAGAAAGTGCACACGAGAGAGATACTGAGAGAGAGTGTGCAGGCGAGACATTGTGTGGGCGAGAGAGTTTTCACACGAGAGAGTGTTCGTGAGACAGTGTACAAGAGTACATGATTGTGAGCTCGAAATAGTGTGCGCCAAAGAGAGAAAGACTGCACGAGAGTGTGCGAGAGAAAGTTCGCGTGTGAGAGGGTGTGTGCGAATGTGTTCATGCACGAGACTGTGCGTGAGGGAGTGTGAGCTTGAAACAGTGCAAGAGAGAGACTGCGCGAGAGTCCACGCGATATTTACGCGAGAGAGTGCACGTGAGAGTGCACGCGAGAGTGCACGCGAGAGAACGCTCACCAGAGATTGTGATCTTGAACGAGTGTGCGCTGAAGAGAGAAAGACTGCACGAGAGTGTGTGCAAAATTATGTGTGCGCGAGAATGTGTTCACGCGAGGGATTGTGCACAATAGTGCGCGCGACAGAATGACTGCATGTGAGTACACGTGAGAAAGGCAGCGCCGTAGAAAGACTGCGCTCGAGAGAAGGCGCCGAAGAGAGAGAGAGATTGTGTCGCGAGAGAGTGGTCGCCACGACATTGCGAGCGATAGAATGTGCGCACGAGAGAGATATCACACGAGAATGTGCGCGTGTGCGAGAGTGTTCGGTGTCTGATAGTACCAGAGAGCACCACTATATAGTCTGATGTACACAGTGTGTATGTAGATCTGTATGTACATGTGTTTGTGTGTGTGTGTCTGTTGATGGTATTCAGTGGCTGTGGCTGTCACTCAGTGCTGCAGTTGGTTCAGTGGCTGTGGCGGGTGTTTAGCGCTTTGGGACGTCCTCCCGACGTGAAAGGCGCTCTATAAATGCAATCTTGTTGTTGTTGTTAATAACAGTACTATTATCAATACTCTAATAATAATATTATTAAAGATATTAGTAATAGTCCTATTATTAATAGTAATATTAATACTCATATTAACAATGATAATGTTAACAGCAATAATTACTATTATATAGTATATAGTAACTAATAATAACTACAATTATGTTAATATATCAGTTGTTAATATAATTATGATCAATAATAATAGTATTACTATTATTTGCTACATTAATATTAACAATATTAGTGTTAATATTAGTAATAATAATAGCATTGACATTGTTTGTAGTATTATTATTAATGATTAAAATTATTAATCCNTTTTTTCTCCCTCAGGGAATCTGATGGGATTATATTCCGATAATCTGGGGAAATATCTCCGTTTGCCTTCAGGCTGCGGGGAGCAGAATCTCTGGCGAAATTCAGTCCAATTATTTATATCTTAAGATATTTAACAATCACCGAACAACTGATGCGAGACACAGAGATCAGAGCCTTAGGCTTCCTCCAGATAGGTCTCTCTCTCTCTCTCTCTCTCTCTCAGTGTTTCTCTCTCACAGTGTCTCTCTCTCTCTCTCTCTCTCCTCTCTCTCTCTCTCTCTCAGTTCTCTCTCTCTCTCTCTCTCTCTCTCAGTCTCTCTCTCTCTCTCTCTCTCTCTCTCTCTCTGTCTCTCTCTCTCTCTCTCTCTCTCAGTGTTTCTCTCTCCAGTGTCTCTCTCTCTCTCTCTCTCTCAGTGTCTCTCTCTCTCTCTCTCTCTCTCTCTCAGTCTCTCTCTCTCTCTCTCTCTCTCTCTCAGTGTCTCTCTCTCTCTCTCTCTCTCTCAGTCTCTCTCTCTCTCTCGTCTCTCTCTCTCTCAGTCTCTTTCAGTCTCTCTCTCTCTCTCTCTCTCTCTCTCACGTCTTTTCTCAGTCTCTCTCTCTCTCTCTCTCTCTCTCTCAGTCTCACTCTCTCAGTCTCTCGCTCTCAGTCTCTGTCTCTCTCACTCTCTCGCTCAGTCTGTCTCTCTCTCTCTCAGTCTCTCTCTCTCAGTCTCTCTCTCTCTCTCTCTCTCTCTGTCTCTCTCTCTTCTCTCAGTCTCTCTCTCTCTCATTCTCTCTCTCTCGCTCTCTCTCTGTCTCTCGTTCTCTCTCTCAGTCTCTCTCTCTCTCTCTCTCTCTCTCTCAGTCTCTTTCTCTCTCTCTCTCTCTCTCTCAGTATCACTCTCTCAGTCTCTCGCTCTCAGTCTCTGTCTCTCTCACTCTCTCGCTCAGTCTTCTCTCTCTCTCTCAGTCTCTCTCTCTCAGTCGCTCTCTCTCTCTCTCTCTCTCTCTCTCTCAGTCTCTCTCTCTTTCTCTCAGTCTCTCTCGTTCTCTCAGTCTCTCTCTCTCTCTCTCTCTCTCTCTCTGTCTCTCGTTCTCTCTCTCAGTCTCTCTCGCGCTCTCTCTCTCTCAGTCTCTTTCTCTCTCTCTCACTCTCTCTTTCGCAGTCTCTCTCTTTCTCAGTCTCTCTCACACGCTCTCACTCCCCTCAGGTTACCAACAACAGTTATTATTCTCTCACGACGATGGTTCATTCAGTGGATACGGAAAGAAAGATCCAGAGGGAAACACTTGGTAACTAATTCATTAATTATCGAGTGAGTGAGTGAGTGAGTGAGTGAGTGAGTGAGTGAGTGAGTGAGTGAGTGAGTGAGTGAGTGAGTGAGTGAATGAGTGAGTGAGTGAGTGAGTGACAGACACAGTAAAACTCCCTCTGCACTGTCTACACTCCCAAGTGTGGGATTGAGTGTGTGAGTGGGGGTGGGGGTGGGGGGTGGGATAGAGACCGGGGGAGGGGGAGGGGGGTATGAGAGTCCGGGGGGGGGGGGGGGCGGCTTTGGACGCGGTAACAAGACAGGTTGGGGTTCTCGCCACAGGTTGACAGCTTTTGTGCTCAAATCTTTCGCGCGAGCGAGACCTTACATCTTCATTGACGAGCGAGTCCTGACTCGAGGCTACAAGTGGTTACTCCATCACCAGAACTCCACCACCGGTCACTTCCAGAATGTGGGTAAGTTATTCAACAACAACATCAAGGTGCGGGCACCTCGGGGAGAGGGCAGAGATGGGGCGAGTGTGAGAGGGAGAGAGAACAGAGAGCGACTCGGGGGAGTCAGGGGATGGGGGGAGTGTGAGAGAGAGAGGGATAGAGACTCGGGGGGAGTCAGGGGATGGGGGGAGTGTGAGAGAGAGAGGGATAGAGACTCGGGGGGAGTCAGGGGATGGAGGGAGTGTGAGAGAGAGAGGGATAGAGACTCGGGAGGAGTCAGGGGATGGAGTGAGTGTGAGAGGGAGAGTGACATAGACTTGGGGAGAGTCGGGATGGGGGGAGTGGAGGAAGATGGATAAAGACTTGGGGAGAGTCAGGGGATGGAGTGAGTGTGAGAGGGAGAGAGACAGAGACTCGGAGGGAGTCAGGGGATGGAGGGAGTGTGAGAGGGAGAGAGACAGAGACTCCGGGGAGTCAGGGGATGGAGGGAGTGTGAAAGGGAGACACAGAATGTATGACTTAATTCTGTCTTGTGTTCCAGGGAGGTGTGAGTGGAACAGTTTCTCTCACGGCTTATATAACAGCATCGCTGCTGGAGACAAATAATACTCTCCTCGTAAGTCCCTCTCTCCCTCTCTCCCTCTCTCTCTCACACTCAGTCTCTCCGTCTCTCTCCCCCTCTCTCTCTCTCTCTCTCTCTCTCTCTCTCACAGTCTCTCTCTCTGTCTCTCAGTCTCTCTCTCAGTCTCCCTCTCTCCTTCAGTCTCTCTCTCTCAGTCTCTCTCTCTGTCTCTCTCTCTCAGTCTCTCTCTCTGTCTCTCTCTCTCTCTGTCTCTCTCGCTCAGTCTCTCTCTCTCTCAGTCTCCCTCTCTCCTTCAGTCTCTCTCTCTCTCAGTCTCTCTCTGTGTCTCTCTTAGTCTCTCAGTCTCTCTCTCATTCTAAATCTCTCACTCTCTCTCTCTGTCTCTCTCAGTGTCTCTCTTTCACTCTCTCTCTTTCACTCTCTCTCTTTCACTCTCTCTCTGTCTCTCTCAGTCTCTCTCTCAGTCTCTCTCTCAGTCTCTCTCAGTGTCTCTCTCGGTCTCTCACTCTCAGTCACTCACTCAGTCTCTCTTTCTCTCTCAGCTATAAGCCTCTCTCTGTTTCCCTCAGGATAGGATGATAGAGAAGGCGTTGAAATTTCTTCGCTCTGTGTATGAGGATGAAAATGATCCCTACACCATCAGTCTCTTATTTTACACCTTCTCCATGTCCGGCGATCAAACCGCTTCCTCCTATCTCAAGAACCTCTTAATGTCTTTAGCCATCAAAGGAGGTAACATTCTCTCTCTCTCAGTCTCTCTCTCTCTCAGTTTCTCTCTCTCTCTCAGTCTCTCTCTCTCTCTCTCTCTCTCTCTCTCTCAGTCTCTCTCTCTCTCTCTCAGTCTCTCTCTCAGTCTCTCTCTCTCTCAGTCTCTCTCAGTCTCTCTCTCTCTCTCTCAGTCTCTCTCTCAGTCTCTCTCAGTCCCTCTCTCTCTCTCTCAAGATGTCTTTACTTGTCGTGTTGTTCTCCAGAGGGTACGGTTCACTGGAAAGCTCACGGGGAGACTGAGAGCAGTGTTCCTGAGGCCGGAGACATTGAGATGACATCGTATGTGCTTTTGGGTTTCTTGATGGATCCGAGTCCCGGTAACTTGGGCTCCGCCTTCACCATCGTCCATTGGCTTATCTCACAGATAAACGCGTACGGAGGTTTCAAATCCACTCAGGTTCGTCAGCAATCATTACCCCATTAATCTAATAATAATTAATCATATTAATTTAATGATAATTTGATTTCATTATAGTTTAATAATAATTTCATTTAAGTATAAATTAGTTTAATAATAATTTCATTTAAGTATAAATTAGTTTAATAATAATTGAATTGAATAATAAATTAATTGAATAATAATTATTGAATTGAATAATAGTAATTGAATTGAATATTAATTTAGTAATAACAATTGAATAATAATAATTGAATAATTAATTTAATAATAATTTAATTGAATAATAATTTAATTGAATAATAGTTTTATTCAAAAGTAATGTTATTTAATTTAATAATAGTTTAATTGAAAAATAAGTTAATTTAAATATCCAATGATTTACTGTTAAATGATTCAAAATCATTATTAAATTATTAATTTAAATTATTTATTTTTTTATTTACATTAAATTAATATTAATTTAATTTAGTAATAATTGAATTTAATAATAAGTGAATTGAATAATAGTTTAATTTAATAATAATTACATTATTAATTGATAATTAATCGTTAAATTATTTAAATTAAATTATTATTAAATCAAATGTAATATTTATTCAATTATTATCAAATTAAATCCAATAATTAATAATTTAATTTATTGTTAATTCAATTATAAATTATTATTAAATTTAATTAAATTATTATTACATTCCATTGTTATTAAAGTGAATTAATATTGAATTGAATTTAATAAACATTACATTTAATTTCATAATAATTCAATTAAAAATAATGTAATGTGATTTAATATTGTGTTTTAAACCACTCACACACTCATACACACTCACACACACAGACTCACACACTCCGCACACTCACAGACACGCACAGAGACACACACACTCACTCACACTCACCCACACACAGACAGACAGACAGATACACACACAGACTGATACACTCACACTCACAGACACACACACACCTCACACCACACACTCTCTCCCTCTCACACTCTCTCTCACACTCTCTCTCACACTGTCTCCCTCGCCCTCTCTCACACTCTCTCTCCTCCCCTCTCCTCTCCCCCCCCTCTCCCACCCCCTTCTCTCCCCCCCCTCTCCCCCCTCTCTCCCACCCCCTCTCTCCCCCTCCCTCCCCCCGCCCCCTCTCCCCCCACTCTCCCCCCCCCACCCCGTCTCCCCCCCCTATCTCCCCCCCCTCTCCCCCCCTCTCTCCCACCCCCCCGCGTCTCTCCCCCTTTCTCTCCCCCCCCTCTCTCTCTCTCCCCGTCTCTCACACTCCCTCTCTCGGTCCCTGCAGGACACGGTGTTGGGGCTGCAGGCAGTGGGCTGTACCTGGAGCGGAGTCGGGGTGACGAGGGCCGGAGAGACATCACCGTAACATCTCCGGGAGGAGAAAAATTCAATTTTCTCGTTCACCCCGAAAATCGCCTGATTCTACACCAAGAAATGATCCCAGAAACAACAGGGACCGTGAACGTGGAAATAAAGGGGTTCGGCTGCGTGTTTGTCCAGGTATACACCTCTATCTCTCTCCCTCTCACACTCACTCTCTCGCTCTCTCTCTTTCTGACACTCTCACACACTCTATCTCTCACACAGGCTCTCACACTCACTCTCTCTCAATCTCTCTCTTGCATATTCTCACTCACACACAGTTACAAACCTCTCTCTCTCCCTCTCACACTCTCACACTCACTGTATCTCACTCTCTGACACACTCACACACTCAATCTCTCTCTTACACACTCTCTCACTCTCTCAGGCCAACACAGTCAGGAACAAACCTCTCTCTCTCCCTCTCTCACTCACTCACTCTTTCTCTCTCTCTCTCTCTGACACTCACACACTCTCTCTCTCACACCTTTTTACACTCTTTCTCTGAATCTCTCTCTGTGTCTCACACTCTCACACGCTCTCTCACTCTCTCTCTCTCTCTCTCTCACACATTCTCTCCATCTCCCTCTCTCTCACACACACACTCAATCTCCCCGTCTCTCTCTCACACTCTCGCTATCTCTCTATCTTTCTCTCTCGCACACCTTCTATCTCTCCCACTCTCTCTCTCCCGCTCTCTCTCACCGCTCTCTCTCACCCGCTCTCTCTCTCCCGCTCTCTCTCTCCCGCTCTCTCTCACCCGCTCTCTCTGTGTCTCTGACCCTTTATATGATGTATTTTGTGTCTGATCTCAGTTTGTGGTCAAATACAACATCGAAACCGAGAAACAAGAGAAGAAGTTCCGGCTCCAGATTTCAGCGAAATGTCACCGGGAAAAAGATCTTCAAATAGACTTTACCATAAAGTATTTTACACACTCGCTCACACTCACTCACACTCACTCAAACCCACACACGCCCTCACACTCGCTCACATGCGCTCACACTCACTCACACTCACTCAAACCCACACACGCCCTCACACTCGCTCACATGCGCTCACACTCGCTCACACTCATGCGCTCACACACTTACACTCACCGATACGCGCTCACACTTACACTCACTGACACTCACACTCGCACACAATTGCTCACACTCACTCACACTCGCTCACACACTCACATTCGCTCACACTCGCTCACACGCTCACTCACACTCGCTTACATGTGCTCACACGCCCTCACACACGCTGACACGGGCTCACACTCGCTCACACACTCAGTCACTCACACTCGCTGACTTGCACTCACACTCGCCCATACGCAGTCAAACTCACTGAAACTCGCTCACACGCGCTCTTATTCCCTTACACACTCACTCACAATTGCTCACACATGCCCACACTCCCTCACACAGTTACTCACACTCACTGATATGCACTCACACTCACAGTCGCTGATACTCACACTCATTCACACTCACCCACACTCGCTCAAACTCATTGAATCTCACTCACACTAACTCACTCTCTCACATTCACTCACACTGACTGAGGCGCGATCACACTCGCTCACACTTGCTCACACTCGCTCATACTCACACACACACTCTCGCACTCACTCATAGTCACACACACTAACACAGATTCTCACACTCACACTCTCACGGTCACTCACACACTAACACAGACTCTCACAGTCTTACACTCACTCACTGACAGTCACTCACACACTAACTCATAGATTCTCACACACTCACTCACAGTCACTTAAAACACTAACACAGATTCTCACACTCTCACAGTCACACACACTAACACACAGATGCTCACACTCACAGTCACTCAAACACTAACACACAGATTCTCACACTCACGTCACTCACAGTCACACACTAACTCAGATTCCACACACAATCAATCACACACTGACATACAGACTCTCACACACACTCACTCACGGTCTCACACACAAACACACAGATTCCACACTCTCACACTCACAGTCACTCACACACTAACACACAGACGCTCACACTCACTCATAGTCACACACTAACACACAGATTCTTACACACTCACACACTAACATACACTCTCGCTGACACTCACACTCACTCACAGTCACACACTCTCACACTCACTCACAGTCACTCACACACTAACATAGTCTCACACTCGCTCACACGCGTGTAACAGGGTCTGACAGACAGACTGATGCTGATTTGCTTTGGTTTCAGGTCCGTTGGTACTGGGAATGAAACTGCTCTGATGTCAATCCTCGATGTTACATTGATCTCAAGTCACTTTCCAGAGGAAACCTCACTCGAAAAGGTAACACACACTTGCACACTCGCTTACACACTTACACACCCACTTTCACACTCGCTTACATACTCACACACACACTTGCACACTCGCTTACACACTTACACATCCACTTGCACACTCGCTTACACACTTACACACCCACTTGCGCACTCGCTTAGACACTTACACGCCCACTTGCACACTCGCTTACACACTTACACAACCACTTGCGCACTCGCTTAGACACTTACACGCCCACTTGCACACTCGCTTACAGGCTTACACACCCACTTGCACACTCGCTTGCACACTTACGCACTCACTTACATACTCACACACTTACATATGGAGTTGCACGCTCACTTACACACTTGCACACTCGCTTACACGCTTACACACTTGCGTATACAGTCGCTTACACACTGACACACTGACACACATTTGCACTTTTACACTCACTACTTACTTACATGCCCTTACACGTTTACTCACACACTTAAACACTCACTTGCACACTTGCATGCAACTTGCACATTTACTTACACACTTACACACTGACACACACACACTGACATACACTCACTGATACACATTGATACACACACTGACACACACACTGACACACACTGACACACACACACTGACACACGCACTGACACATATCCTTACACACTGATATGTACACACACTCTTACACACATTCAGTGACATACACTCACTGACACAGTTACATGACACACCCACACACTGACGCACTGATACAAACACTCACTGACACACACATACTTTCGCACATTTACACACGCACTGACACACTTCCACACACTTACACGCACACTGACTCACTGATACACACACTGATACACACCGACACACACCAACACACACTTACAAACACACTGACACACACTCTTACACACCCACTGTCTCACACAGACACACAACTTTCACAAGCCTTACACACCCAGATACACATTCACTGCACACAATCACTGACACACACACATTACTCTCACACACTTACACACACACACTGACACACTTACACACATACTGACACGCACTGACACTCACCCTTACACACACTGACACACACTTACACACATACTGACATGCACTGACACTCACCCTTACACACACACTGACACACACTTACACATACACTGACACGCACACTGACGCACACTCTTACACACACAATGACACACACAAACACACCCTTACACACGCAGATACACACTCACTGACACACACATTGACACACCCTTACACACACACTGCCACACATACAAACACTGACACACACATACACTCACACACTTACACACACACACACACAGACGCGCACTTACACATACACTTACACACACACTGGCGCACACTCTTACACACACTGACACACAGACGCACCCTTACACACACAGATACACGCCCACTGACACACACTGACACACACCCTTACTGATACATTCTTACACACACACTAACACAGACCCACACTGACACACACTTACACACATACTGACACACACTGACACACCCTTATACACACACTGACACACACTTGCACACACACATTTACACGCACACTGACACACACACTGATGCACACGCTTACACACACACTGGCACACACAGACACACAACAGACCCTTGCACACACAGATATACACTCACCGACACACCCTTACACACATACTGACAAGCAGACACACTCCCTTACACACACGCTGTTACACTCACTGACACACACATCACTACAGCTCACTATCCAGAGGAAACATCGCTTGAAACGGTAACAATCACTTACACATTCACTTCACACTTAAAAACACAACTACGCGCTCATGTGCACACGTAAACACACAATTACACACTCACGCGCACACGAACACCGATACACACACATACACACACATGGACACACTTACACACTCACGTATATGCCTAGTTGCACACTCGCTTGCACTCTTACACAGTGAAACACACTGACACATACAAACACTCAGGCACACACTTACTGACACATGTACACACACACTTATGCACTCACTCACAGTTACACACTCACTTCCACACTTACTTCCACACGTGCACACTCACTGACATACTTATGCACTCACTTGCACACTAATACACACACTGACACATATACTGACACACACAGATACACGTATACACTCACTGACACACTTACACACACTAACACACACACACTGACACACACACTGTCTCACTGACGCACACACTTGCACACTCACTGTCACGCATAAACACTGACAAACTTACACACACATACACACACCCTTACACACACTAGGTACACACACACTGACACACACACTGTCTCACTGTTGCGCACACTTGCACGCTCACTGTCACACACAAACACTGACATACTTACACACACACTGACACACATATGCACTCACACACTGACAAACACTCACACACTTTAACACTTACTGACACACTCACCAACTCATTGACACACACTCACAAACACACACACCATCACTGACACACTTGAGAGAGAGGAGCGAGAGATGAGGGTCTTCACTCTGTTTGTCTTGTGTTTTTCACAGTTACTTCACCTCCCTTTTGTGGATAAATATGAAGTTGTCGAGAGTCACTTAATCATCTACCTGAGCCACGTGAGTGAGAGAGAGGGAAAGAGAGAGAGAGAGAGAAATAGACAGACAGACAGGAGGGTTAGAGAGAGAAAGGGACGGGGAGAGAGAAATGAAGAGAGAGAGAGAGGGGGAGAAAGGAAGGGAGAGAGAGAGAGAGAGGCATAGAGAGAGAGAAAGAAAGGGAAAAGGAGAGAAAGAGAGAGAGAGAGAGAGAGAGAGAAATTGAGAGAGAGAAATTGAGAGAGAGATAAAGGAGAGAGCGAGAGAAAGGGACAGATAGAGAGAAAGGGAGAGAGAGAGAGATGAAGGGAGTTAGAGAGGGAGAGAGAGAGACACAGAGAGAGAGTGAGAAATAAATGGAGTTAGAGAGAGAGAAAGTGAGAGAGAGAGAGAAAAGGAGTTAGAGAGACAGAAAGGGAGAGAGAGAGATGAAGGGAATTAGAGAGAGAGAAAAGGAGAGAGAGAGAAAGAGAGAGAAAGAGAGAGAAAGATAAATGGATAGAAACATAGAAAAATAGATAGCGAGAGAGAGATAAAGAGAGAGAGTGATAATAATTGTGTGTGTGAGTGTGTGAGTGGGTATGAGTGTGTGTGTGAGTGGGTGTGTGTGTGAATGGGTGTGTGTGAGTGTGTGTGAGTGGGTGTGTGTGAGTCGGTGTGTGTGAGTGTGTGTGTGAGAGTGGGTGTGTGAGTGGTGTGTGTGAGTGTGTGTGTGTGTGAGTCGGTGTGAGTGGGTGTGTGTGTGAGTCGGTGTGAGTGGGTGTGTGTGTGAGTCGGTGTGAGTGGGTGTGTGTGAGTGTGTGTGTGGGTGTGAGCGTCAGTGGTTGTGAGTGGGTACGAGTGGGTGTGAGTGGGTGGTTTATATTTGTGATTGGGTGTGAGTGAGTATGTGTTAGTGAGTGTATGTGTGTGAGTGTGTTATAATAACTGTGTGTTTGTGTATGTTTATGAGTGAGTGTGAATGAGTGTGAGTTATAATAACTATGTTTGTCGGTGTGTGAGTGTGTGTGAGTGTGCGTAAAATAGCTGTGTGTGTGAGTGTGTTTGAGTGTGCTTGTGTGTGAGTGTTTGTGAGTGTGAGTGAGTGCGAGTTGTTATAATAAATACGTGTGTTTGTGCATGTGTGTGAGTGGGTGTGTTTGTGAGTGTGTTTGTGTGTGTGATTGTGTATGAGTGTGAGTGTGTGAGTGAATGTGGGTGTTTGTATGTGAGTGAGTTTGTGTGAGTCTATGTGAGTAAGTGTGAGTGTGTGTGAGCTATAATAAATTTGAGTGTGAGTGTGAGTGGTTGTGAGCTATAGTGAGTGAGAATCAATGTGAGTCGGTGTGAGCTATAGAAAGTGTGAGTGTAAGTGAGTACTAGTGAGTGTGTGATTGTGTGAGACTGTGAGTGTGTGTGAGTGAGTGTGAGTTTGGTGTGAGCTATATTGAGTGTGAGTAAGAGTAATTGTGAGTGGGTGTGAGTGAGTGTGTATGAATGAATGTGCAAGTGAGTGTGAGTGGGTGTGTGAGTCAGTGTGAAAGGTTGTCAGCTATAGTGTGACTGTATGTGAGTATGTGTGAATGTGTGATTGAGTATGAATATGTGTGTGTGAGTGGGTATGAGTGAGTGAGTGTGTGTGTGAGTGAGTGTGGGTGAGTGGGTGTGTGAGTGTGTGTGAAAGGTTGTCAGCTATAGTGTGACTGTATGTGAGTATGTGTGAATGTGTGATTGAGTATGAATATGTGTGAGTGAGTGTGAGTGGGTATGAGTGAGTGAGTGTGTGTGTGAGTGAGTGTGGTGAGTGGGTGTGTGAGTGTGTGTGAGTGGGTGTGAGCTATAGTAAGTGTGAGTGAGTTAGAGTGAGTGCGAGTGTGTGTCAGTGGGTGTGATCTGTGGGTCAGTTTGAGTAAGTGTGTGTGAGTGCGTGAGTGAGTGTGTGTGAGTGAGTGTGAAAGGTTGTCAGCTATAATAAGTGTGACTGTGTGTGAGTGTATGTGTGAGTGTAGGTGTGAGTAGGTGTGAGCTACAGTAAGTGTGGATGTGTGAGTGAGTGTGCATGATTGGGTGTGAGTGAGGGTGGGTGGGTGTGAGTGTGAGTGATTGTGAATAGGGTGAGCTATAGCAAGTGTGGGTGTCTGAGTGAGTGTGAGTGAGTGAGTGTGAGTGATTCTGAGTGGGGTAAGCAATATTAAGAGTGGGTGTGTGAGTGAGTGTGAGTAAGTGTGTGAATGAGCATGAGTGTGTGAGTATGAGTGAGTGTGTGAGAGTGTGAGTGTGTGAGTGAGTGTGAGGGTGTGAGTGGGTGTGGGTGAGTGAGGGTGTGAGTGGGTGTGAGTGAGTGTGAGTGGGTGTTAGTTACAGTAAGTGTGAGTGGGTGTGAGTGAGTGAGTGTGAATGGGAGTGAGTGGGTGTGAGCTAAAGTAAGTGTGAGTGTGTGAATGAGTGTAACTGTGTGGGTGTGAGCTACAGTAAATGTGAGTGTGAGTATGTGTGAGCTACAGTAAGTGTGTGTGAGTGAGTATGAATGTGAGTGGGTGTAAGCTAACGTAAGTGTGAGCGAGTGTGAGTCGGTGTGAGTGAGTGAGAGAGAGTAAATGAGTGGGTGTGAGCTAGAGTAAGTGAGTGTGTGTGAGTGGGTGTGTGTGGGTGTGAGCTAGAGTGCGTGTGATTGTGTGAGTGAGTGTGAGTGGGTGTGAGCCACAGTAAGTGTGAGTGTGTGAGTGGGTGTGAGCCACAGTAAGTGTGAGTGTGTGAATGGCGGTGAGCTACAGTAAGTGTAGTGTGTGAGTGGGTGGGTGAGTGAGTGGGTGTGTGTGAGTGTGAGTGTGAGTGGGTGTGGGAGTGGGTGTGAGTGTATGTGACCTAGAGTAAGTGTGAGTGTGTGAGTGAGTGATAGTGGGAGTGAGTGGGTGTGAGCTACAGTAAGTGTGAGTGTGTGAGTTTGAGTGGGTGTGAGCTACATTAAGGGTAAGTGTGTGAGTGAGTGTGTGAGTGAGTGTGTGTGTGACTGTGAGAGGGTGTGTGTGTGAGTGGGTGTGAGCTTGAGTAAGTGGGTGTGTGAGTGGGTGCGAGTGGGTGTGACCTAGAGTATGTGTGAGTGTGTGAGTGAGTGATAATGGGGGTGAGTGGGTGTGAGCTACAGTAAGTGTGAGTGTGTGAGTGGGTGGAGCTACAGTAAGTGTGAATTTGTGAGTGAGTGTGAGCTATAGTAAGTGTGAGTGTTTGAGTGGGTGTGAATTGGTGTGAGCTACTATAAGTGTGAGTGAGTGTGAGTGGGTGTGAGCTACAGTAAGTGTGAGTGGGTGTGAGTGTGTGGACTAAGTAGTGGAGTGGGTGTGTGGAGTGTGAGAGTGTGAGGGTGTGAGCTACAGTAGTGTGAGTGTTTGAGTAGTGTGAGTGACTGTGAGTGTGTGTGAGTGTGAGACGTGTGAGTGTAGCACTAGTGTGAGTGTGTCAGTGTGTGTAGTCAGTGTGAGGGTTGGATGTGTGAGCTACAGTATGTGAATGTGTGAGTGGTGAGTGTGTGAGTGGTGTGTGATGTGTGGTGGGTGTGAGCTACAGTAAGTGAGTGTGTGAGTGGGTGTGTGAGTGGGTGTTTGTGAGTGAGTGTGCGTGTGTGACTGTGTGAGTGGGTGTGTGAGTGTGTGAGCTAGAGTAGTGAGTGTGTGAGCGAGTGGAGTGATGTGAGTGTGTGAGCTCGTAAGTGTGATGTGAGTGTGTAGCAAGTGTGAGTGTGAGTGGGTCGGTGTGTGTGATGGGTGTGATGGTGAGTGAGTGATGTGAGTATGTAGTGTGAGTGAGTGTGAGTGAAAGTGTGCTTGGTAGAGAGATTGTGAGCTATGTTGTTAGAGGTTGATTAGCGCTATAATAAGTGTGACTGTGTGTGTGTGAGAGTGTGTGTGTGAACATAAGAACATAAGAATTCGGAGCAGGAGTCGGCCATTTGGCCCTTCGTTCCTCTCCGACATTCAACAGATCGTGGCTGACCTTCTCCCCTCACTCTGATTACCCCCATATCCCATCCCCCATATCCCCATATCCCCCATATCCTACCCCATATCCCCATATCCCCCATATCCCCATATCCCCATATCCCCATATCCCCCATACCCATACCCATATCCCATCCCATATCCCCATATCCCCCATATCCCCATATCCCCATATCCCCATATCCCCATATCCCCATATCCCATATCCCCCATATCCCCATATCCCCCATATCCCCATATCCCCATATCCCCATATCCCCATATCCCCATATCCCATATCCCCATCCATATCCCATATCCATATCCCCATATCCCCCATATCCCCATATCCCTCCCCATATCCCTCATCCCATATCCCCATCATATCCCCATATCCCCATATCCCCCATATCCCCATATCCCCATATCCCCATATCCCCATATCCCCATATCCCCCATATCCCCATCATATCCCCATATCCCCATATCCCCATATCCCCATACCCCCCAATCCCCATATCCCCATATCCCCATATCCCCATAACCAACCCTATCTCTTCCCTCCCACCCTCCCTATTGTTCAGGAATCTATCAGTTTCAGCCTTGAAGATGTTCTACTGACATCTACAGCCCTTCTGGAGGAGTGAATTCCATAAACTCACTACCCTCGGAGTGAAGAAATGTTTCCTCAACTCTGTTCTCAAAGGCTGACCCTTAATTTTCAGACTGTGACCCCGGTTATAGATTCTCCTACCGGGGAAACAGACCCTCAGTGTCTACTTTATCAGCCCTTTAAGAATCTTATATGTTTCAATAAGATCCCCCTAATTCTTCTGTACTCTAGAGAATACAGTCCTCGTTTATTCAGCCTCATCCTCATAGGTCAGTCCCCTCATCCCAGGAACTAACCGAGTGAATCTACGCTGCACCCCCTCGAGGGCAAGTATGTCCTTTTTTAAATAAGGACCAAAACTGCACACAATACTCTCGGTGCGGTCTCACCAAAGCCCTATACAGTTGCAGCAAGACTTCCCTACTCTTATATTCTAAACCTTTCGAATGAACGCTAACATGCCGTTCGCCTTCTTAGTTGCTGCTGCACCTGCAAACTAACTTTTTGGGACTGGTGTACAAGGACACCCAAATCCCTTTGAATACTAACACTATCTAACTTCTCCCCTTCCAGAAAATAATCTGTTCTTTTATTCTTGCTACCGAGGTGAATAATTTCACACTTGCTAACATTGAATTCCATCTGCCACCTACTTGCCCACTCCCCGCGCCTATCTATATCTTGTTGCAATCTTTTTGCATCATCCTGAGAGCTCACTCTGCTACCGAGTTTAGTATCATCCGCGAATTTAGACACATTACATTCAATGTCCTCGTCCAGATCATTGATGTAAATGGTAAATAGCTGAGGCCCAAGCACTGATCCTTGTGGCACTCCACTAGTTACATCCTGCCAATTCGAGAATGATCCGTTTATCACTACTCTCTGCTTTCTACCCGATAGCCACTCTTCTATCCATGTTAATATTTTCCCATTAATCCCGTGGGCCTTGATCTTGAGTAACAGCCTTTTGTGTGGCACCTTGTCAAATGCCTTCCTAAAATCCAAATATACCACATCTACTGGTTCCCCCTTATCCAACCTGCTGGATACATCCTCAAAAAATTCTAAAAGGTTAGTCAAGCATGACTTCCCTTTTGTAAAGCCATGTTGACTCTGCCTAATCTTTTTATGGTCTTCCAGGTATCCCATAACTACGTCTTTTATTAAGGACTCAAGAATTTTCCCTACAACTGACGTCAAACTAACTGGTCTATAGTTTTCCCTATTTTCTCTCCCACCCTTCTTAAATAGTGGAGTTACGTTTGCAATCTTCCAATCAATGGGAACTTTTCCAGTATCCACAGACTTTTGGAAGATTATAGACATGCCATCCACTATCTCAGTAGCCACCTCCTTTAAAACTCTCGGATGCAGGCCATCCGGTCCAGGGGATTTATCGGTTTTAAGACCCGACAATTTACCTAGAACCATCTCTTTACTAATGTTAATCTCCCTAAGTTGCTCGCTAACATTGTCTTCTTGGTCCTCTATTTTTGGTATGTTTCCAGTGTCTTCTACGGTGAAGACTGTAGAAAAATACTTGTTTAATGACTCTGCCATGTCTTTGTCCCCTATTATAATTCCTCCGGTCTCTGCCTGTAATGGACCCACATTCACCCTCGCTAGCCTTTTCCTCTTTATATATTTGTAAAAACTCTTGGAGTCTGTTTTTATGTTCTTTGCTAGTTTGCCCTCGTAATCTATTTTCTCCCTCTTGATCAATTTTTTGGTCCTCCTCTGTTGTTCCCTAAAGTTCTCCCAATCCTCGGGTTTACTACTCATCTTCGCTGTTTTATAGGCTTTTTCTTTTGATTTGATACTTTCCCTAACTGCTCTAGTTAGCCATGGCTGCACCACCTTTCCCATGGCATTCTTATTCCTCAAAGGAATATGTGCTCGTTGGGAATTTTGCACTATCTCCTTGAATGTCTGCCATTGCTGGTCTACCGTCAAATCTTTAAGTTTAGTCTCCCAGTTTATTCTGGCTAAATCCTCTCTCATACCAGCAAAGTTGGCTCGATTTAAATTGAAGACTTTTGCTTCAGACTTAACTACTTCCCTCTCTAACTTAACGCTAAATTCCATCATATTATGATCGCTTTGCCCTAGAGGAGCCTTAAGTTCCAGTTTGCTGATCAGCCCTGTTTCATTACACAAAACAAGGTCTAATATGGCTTGTTCCCTGGTCGGCTCCTCAGCATATTGATCTAGAAAATTATCTCTAATACATTCTATAAACTCCTCTTCTATGTTACCTTTCCCAATTTGGTTGTCCCAGTCTATGTGCAGGTTAAAATCACCCACAATTAGTGTCTTTCCTTTGCTACATGCTCCACTAATCTCTTGATTTATACCTTGAGCGATACTTTGACCACTGTTTGGGGGTCTATAAACTACTCCCACTATAGTTTTCTGCCCCTTGAAGTTACGTATCTCTACCCATACTGACTCTACATCTTGCTTTTCAGATTTAAAATCTTTCCTCTCTACTGTTTTTATCCCATCCTTTATTAGCAGGGCCACTCCCCCTCCTCGTTTACCACATCGCCTATCTTTCCTATATACCACGTAGCCGGGAATATTCAGTTCCCATCCCTGATCACCCTGTAACCATGTCTCGGTGATGGCTACTAGATCATACCGGTTTGTCTCTATTTGTGCAACTAATTCATCTATCTTGTTACGAATGCTTCGTGCATTCAGATATAGCGCCCTTAATTCTGACTTCCGGCTATTAACCCTATTCACCAGCACTCTATCACTGTACTTCCTTTCCCTGCTTGACACACTTTGCTCTTCTCCCTTGTTAATCTGCTCTCTTGCTTTTGTTGATCTCAAGTTTAACTGTGGTGGACTATACTTTACTATGCTTTTACCTCTCCCCCCCCCTTAGTAGTTTAAAGCCCTTTCTACCTCCCTATTTATTCGCGTAGCCAGGACATTTGTCCCAGCCCTATTTAGGTGGAGCCCATTCCTTTGGAAAAGCTCCCATCTTCCCCAATACTCGTGCCAGTGGCCCATGAATTGGAATTCCTGCTCTCCGCACCACTCTTTTAGCCAGGCATTCAGATCTATGATCTTCTTTTGCCTGTACCAATTAGCTCCTGGCTCAGGTAACAGTCCCGATATCATCACTTTGGAAGTTCTATTCCTTAGTTTAATTCCCAATTCCCGGAACTCGCTCCTTAACTCATCCCTACTGGTCCTACCAATGTCATTGGTCCCTATATGTACCATTACGATTGGATCCTCTCCCTCATGCCTCAAATTTATCTCCAGCCCGGCGGTGACATCCTTCACCCTGGCCCCAGGAAGACAACAGAGTCTTCTTGTCTCCCCGCTACGGCTACAGAAAACTGCATCAGTCCTCCCGACTGTCTCACCCCCAATAAGAATTACATTTCTAACCTCCTGCACAGGAGTGTTGGGGTCAGTTTGCCCGACTTCCTCGCAGACTTCCTTGTCCACACAAGTTGCCAATATTTCATACCTGTCAGACAGCTATAATAAGTGTGACTGTGTGTGTGTGAGAGTGTGTGTGAGTGTGAGTAGGTGTGAGGTACAGTAAGTGGGTGTGTGAGTGAGTGCATGATTCGGTGTGAGTCAGTGTGAGTGGTTGTGAGTGTAGTGAGTTGTTAGTAGGTGAGTGTGATTGATTGTGAATGGGGTGAGCTACAGTAAGTGTGAGTGAGTGAGTGGGTGTGAGTGAGTGAGTGGGCGTGAGTGTGTGTGAGTGGTTGTGAGCTACTGTAAGTGTGAATGGGTGTGAGTTGGTGAGAGCTACAGTAAGTGTGAGTGTGTGAGCTACAGTAAGTGTGAGTGAGTGTGTGTGTGTGAGTGAGAGTGGGTGTGAGTGGGTGTGAGCTAGAGTAAGTGTGAGCGAGTGAGAGTGGATGTGAGTGTGTGTGAGCAACAGTAAGTGTGAGTTTGTGAGTGGGTGTGAGCTACAGTAAGTGTGCGTGTGTGAGTGGGTGTGAGCTATAGTACTTTTGAGTGAGTGAGTGTAAGTGTGAGTGAATGCGCGAGTGAGTGTGCGAGTGAGTGTGCGTGTGTGTGACTGAGTGTGAGTGAATGTGAGTGGTGTGAGTCAGTTTGAAAGGTTGTCAGCTACAGAAAGTGTGACTGTGTATGAGTATGTGAGTGTGTGAATGTGTGAGTGAGTGTGAATGGGTGTGAGTGAGTGTGAGTGGGCGGGAGCTACAGTAATTGTGAGTGGGTGTGTGTGATTGTGAGTGTGCGTGAGCTACAGTAAGTGTGAGTGGGTGTGAGTGGGTGTGAGTGAGTGTGAATGGGTGTGAGCTTCCGTAAGTGTGAGTATGTGAGTGTGTGAGTATGAGTGGGTGTGACTGGGTGTGAGTGCGTGTGAGTGGGTGAGTGGGTGTGAGCTACAGTAAGTGTGAGTGTGTGTGAGTGTGAGTGAGTGGGTGTGAGCTACAGTAATTGTGAATGTGTGTGAGTGTGAGTGAGTGGGTGTGAGCTACAGTAAGTGTGAGTGTGTGTGTGTGACTGGGTGTGAGTGGGTGTGAGCTACAGTAAGTGTGAGTGTGTGTGTGAGTGTGACTGGGTGTGAGTGGGTGTGAGCTTCAGAAAGTGTGTGTGAGAGTGGGTGTGAGTGGGTGTGAGCTACAGTAAGTGTGAGTGTGTCTGTTCTCCAGGTCTCAGCAGTTGGAGTTTCAGGAAGTTTTATTTTGGAGAAATCTTTCGAGGTCGAAAATGTTCGTCCGGGAAAAGTGAAGATTTATGAGTATTACGAACCCGGTAAATAATCAATAATAATATTATTACTATTCTTGATAAGAATTCACAATAACTATAAATAATAATGATTAATCATAATAGTCCTGACTGTTAATTAGTACTTTATTAATAATAATACTGTTTTAATTAATTATATTAATAACAGTGATAATAATTAATAATAATCAATCATAATCATTAATAACAAATACTAATAATTATTATCAATAGTATTCCTGGATTTTAGTTAATATCGTTACTATTCTTGATAATAATTCACATTAACAATAAATAATAATAATTAATAATAATAGACCTGACTGTTAATTAATACTTTATTAATAATAATACTGTTTTAATTAATGATATTAATAACAATGATAATAATTAATAATAATGAATCATAATCATTAATAATACATACTTATTATCAATAATAATAATATTGATATTATTAATAATATTAATAATAATGTTAATAATATAACAATATTAATAATAATATAATTGTGTATAATTGAGAGAGAGACTGAGAGGGATTGTCACTGTTGTATCTGTGTTTGTAGACCGATTTGCAACAGATGTTTATACAGATACGTGTGTCCGGGGTAAGATTTTAACTGTATCACTGTGTGTGTGTGTGTGAGTGTGTGTGTGTTTGTCTGTGTGTGTGTGTGTGTCTGTGGATGTTTGTGTGTGTGTGTGTGTGTCTGTGTGTGTGTGTGTCTGTGTGAGTGTATGTTTGTGTGTGTGTGTCTGTGTGTGTGTGTGTCTGTGTGCATGTGTATGTGAGTGTGAGTGTGTGTGTGTGAATGTGGGTGTGTGTATGTTTGCGTTTGTGTGGGTGTGTGTGAATGTGAGTTTGCGTTTGCGTGTGTGAGTGTGAATGTGTATGTGTGAGTATGTGTGTGTGTGTTTGCGTGTGTGTGTGAATGTGTGTGTGTGTGTATGTGAGTGTGTGTGTGTGTGAATGTGTGTTTGTGAGTGTGTGTGTTTGCATATGCGCGCGTGTGTGTGTGTATGTGTGTGTATGTGTCCGTGTGTGTATTTGAGTGTGCATGTTTGTGAGTGTGAATGTGTGTGTGAGTGTGTGAATGTGTGTGAGTGTATGTATGCGTATGTGTGTGAATGTGTTTGTGTGTGTGAATGTGTGTATATGTGTGCGTATGCCTGTGAGTGTGAATGTGTGTGTGGGTCTGTGTATCTATGTGTGTGAGCTTGTGAGTGTGCGTGTGAGTGTGTGTCTGCGCGTGTATGTGAGTGCGCGTGTGTGTGTGAATGTGTGTGAGTGTGTGTGAGTATGTGTGAGTGTGAATGTGTGTGTGAGTGTGTGGCTGTGTGTTTGCATATGTGTGTGTGAATGTGTTTGTGTGTGTATATGTGTGCGTATGACTGTGAGTGTGAATGTGTGTGTGTGTGTGAATGTGTGAGTGTGTATGTGTGAATGTGAATGTGTGTGAGTGTATGTTTGCGTATGTGTGTGAGTGTGAATTTGTGTGTGTGTGTGAGTGTGTGTGAATGTGAGTGTGAGTGTGTGTGTGTAGGTGTGAGTGTGAATGGTTTAAAATTCATTTGATATACTGTTCTGAGTCCAAGCCTCACAAACATTTATTCCCAGATTAATAGCATTTTGTTCTGACTTATTCCCAGACTCCTGATATCCCGTTGAAGAGAAAGTTTGCGACAAAAATTTAAAATCGCTTATATAATCTGAGTTGAAATCATAGAGAGGGAACTCTACTGTGTCTTAAACCCGGACCTGGGAGTGTGGACGGACGCACAGTGTAGAGGGAGATTTACGGGAGATTTAAACCTGTGATTAAGCTGAATAAATTCATCGGAAAAGGCTCTGATGTGAGTGTGTGAGTCACCGTGAGAGTCTGGAGAGAAAGACTGAGACAGAGAGACTGAGAGACTGAGAGTGAGAGAGAAAGAGAGACTGAGAGTGAGAGACTGGGAGAGACTGAGAGTGACTGAGAGTGAGAGAGACTGAGCCTAAGAGAGACTGAGAGTGAGAGAGAGACACAGAGAGAGGGAGTGAGAGACTGAGAGAGAGACTGAAAGAGAAAGAGACTGAGAGAGAGAGAGACTGAGAGAGAGACTGAAAGAGAAAGAGAAAGAGACTGAGAGAGAGAGAGAGAGAGAGAGAGAGACTGAGAGTCAGAGAGAGACTGAGAGAGAGAGAGAGAGAGAGACTGAGAGAGAGACTGAGAGAGACTGGGAGAGAGACTGAGAGTGGGAGAGACTGAGAGAGGAGAGAGACAGAGAGAGAGAGACTGAGAGAGAGACTGAGAGAGAGACAGAGAGAGAGACTGAGAGAGAGAGAGACTGAGAGAGAGAGACTGAGAGAGAGAGAGACTGAGAGAGAGACTGAGAGAGAGAGACTGAGAGAGAGAGACTGAGAGAGAGACTGAGAGAGAGAGACTGAGAGAGAGACTGAGAGAGAGAGAGACTGAGAGAGAGACTGAGAGAGAGACTGAGACCAGGGAAAGGCCATATTAGACCTTGTTATGTGCAATGAATCAGAGCTGATCAGCAAACTGGAAAAGAAGACTCCTCGAGGGCAAAGTGATCATAATAATAATAATAATCTTTGCATTTGATATAGCGCTTTTCCCGTCGGGAGGACGTCCCAAAGCGCTTCACAGAACACACTGTAAAGTGAATTGACTGTATATTTGTGGGCGAACGCGGCAGCCAATTGCGCACAGCAATGTCCCACAAACAGTCGTAGATTGAAAATGACCAATTTATTATTGTTTTTGGTTTTGGAGGGATTATTATTAGGCTCTGTGTGGAGTAAGGAAACTTGCCCAAGGTTTCGCCCTCTGCCTGGAATTGAACTCAGGTCTCTCACTCGCAAAGTGAGTGCTCTAACCACTGAGCTACAGGACTCCACGATAGAACTATCACGATAATGTGATAGTATTTAGCATTAAGTTCGAGAGAGAAGTAGTTAAGTCTGAAGCAAAGGTTTTAAATTTAAGTAGAGCCAACTTTGCTGGTATGAGAGAGGATTTAGCCAAAATAAACTGGGAAATTAGACTTAAGGATTTAACAGTAGACCAGCAATGGCAGACGTTTAAGGAGATAGTGCAAAATTCCCAGTGAGCACATATTCCTTTGAGGAATAAGAATGCCACCGGAAAGGTGGCCCAACCGTGGCTAACTGGAGCAGTCAGGGAAAGTATAAAGTTAGAAGCCTATAAAACAGCTAAGATGAGCAGTAAACCGAGGATTGGGAGAACTTTAGGGATCAACAAAGGAGAACCAAAAAAGTGATTAGGAGGGAGAAAAGGGAATATGAGGGCAAACCAGCGAAGAACATGAAGACAGACTGCAAGAGTTTTTATAAATATATAAAGAGGAAGAGACTGTCAAAGGTAAATGTGAGTCCGTTATAGGCAGAGACGGGGGAATTATAGTAGGGGACAAAGATAGAGTCGTTAAACAACTACTTTGCTACTGTCTTCACCTTAGAAGACACTGAAAACCTACCAAGAATAGAGGGAAACCAAGGAGGAAATGTTAGCGAGCAACTTGGGGGAATTAATATTAGTAAAGAAACGGTTTAGGTAAACAACAACAACAAGATTCTATTTATTGAGCGCCTTTCACGTCGGGAGGACGTCCCAAGGCGCTGTACAGTTAGGTCAGGACCCGAATAGGGGGGAAATGGTCAGTGTGAGGGGAGGGAAGGGAGGGAGCAAGGAGGGGGGAGATGGTCAGGGTGAGGGAAGGGAGGGAGGGAGCGAGGAGGGGGTAGAGAGTCGAGAGGGAGCTGAAGGCACCGTCAAAATTGTCAGGTCTTAATACTGATAAATCTCCTGGACCTGATGGCCTACATCCTCGGGCTTTAAAAGAGGTGGCTACTGAGATAGTGGATGGCTTGTCTTTGATCTTCCAAAATTCTCTGGATTCTGGAACGGTTCCCATTGATTGGAAGATTGCAAACGTGACACCACTATTTAAGAAGGGTGGGAGAGAAAAGATGGGGAACTGTAGACCAGTTAGTCTGACTTTAGTGGTTGGGAAAATTTTTGAGTCCTTAATTAAGGATGTCATTATGGGATTCCTGGAAGACCATAACAAGATGAGGCAGTCAACATGGCTTTACAAAAGGGAAGTCACGCTTCACTAATCTTTTAGAGTGTTTTGAAGATGTATCTGCAGGTTTGATAGAAGGGAACCAGGAAATATAGTACATTTAGATTTTAAAAAGGCATTTAACAAAGTGCGACACAAAAGACTATTGCACAAGGTTAAGGCCCACGGGATTAATGGGAACATATTAACATGGATAACGGGTGGCTAACGGGTAGAAGACAGAGAGTAGGGATAAACGGGTCATTCTCGAATTGACAGGAGGTGACTAGAGGAGTGCCACAGGATCAGTGTTTGGGCCTCAGCTATTTACAATCTACATCAATGACCTGGACAAGGACATTGAATGTAACGTATCTAAATTGCGGATGACACTAAACTCGGTGGAGAGTGAGCTCTGAGGATGATGCAAAAAGATTGCAAAGGGATATAGATAGTCGAGGGGAGTGGGCGAGTCGGTGGCAGATGGAATTTAATGTGGGGAAGTGTGAAGTTATTCACCTCGGTGGTAAAAATAGAAAAACAGATTATTTTCTAGAGAGGGAGAGATTAGATAGTGTTAGTGTTCAGAGGGATTGGGGTGTCCTTGTACACCAGTCTCAAAAAGTTAGTTTGCAGGAGCAGCACCAACTATTGTTATTTGTAAAATGCCCAAAAAGTAAAATGATAATTTTTATTTCGACGTTTCAGTTGCTGGAAACTTCCTTCCCTCTTCCAGTAGTCTCACGCGTCAATTAATATTCACCAAAAAAGACGACTGAATCGCTCTTTAACATTTCAACAAAATGGACTCCAGCTCAAAGAACCCAGCAAAATTCAATCACTGTTTGTTGTGACAACTCGATGGTATTAATTTTGTTCGGTGCTGAGAAACCCCCACCATATCACAACCCACAGCCCAGAGCACAACACCAATCATATCACATCACATAGCCGGTACATAGCCCAGCTCACAGTCTCCAACGTCACCCATCCCACAGCCTATAGCATACCCCAGCACGCAACACCAGTCATATCACATCAAGCAGCACCCAACATAGTCCATCTCACAGCACTCAGCATAGCCCAACACACAGAAAGCAGCATAGCCCAGCTAACAGCCCCTACCAAAGCCCAGCACACAACCCCAACATAGCCCAACACACATCCCCCAACAGAGCCAGCACACAGACCCCAGCACATCCCAGCACACAGATCCAGCATAGCCCAGCAGACAGTCTCCAACTATAGCCCAGCACACAGATCCCAGCATAGACCAGCGCACAGCCTATGGCGTAGCCCAGCGCACAACACCAATCATCATCACAGCAAGCAGCCCCCAACATATTCCACTACACAGACCCCAGCATAGCCCAGCGCAGAGAAACCAGCTTAGCCTCGCTAAAGCCCCTAACAAAGCCTAGCACACAGCCCCCAACATAGCCCAGCCTGCAGACCCAAAGAAGCCATCCCACAGCTTAGAGCATAGCCCAACACACAACACCGATCATATCACATCAAGCAACCCGCAGCATAGTCCAGCACACAGACGCCAATATAACCCAGCACACAGACCCCAGCGCAAATAACCAGCATTGTCCAGCTAATAGCTCCAAAAATATCCCAGCACACAGCCGCTAATATAGCCCAGTACACAGCGTCCCGCATAGCCGACACACATCTTCCAGCATGTGCACAGTAACACACAGTTTGCCGTCGCCCCAGCCTAGGATGACTGTGTAATATCAAACAAACGCGGAGACGTGTGTAAAACACTGAGCTGACGGCAGTTCCTGCAGGAGAAGGTATTGGATTAATCACTTTGTTTCTTTGCGCTGGGTGTGTTTGACTATATTATTGGCCTTCCTCAGTTTGTTGCTGATCGAACACAGGACAGATTTGGCCCGGAACACTTTACCTCACACTCTAACCCAGTGGCGCCTCCCCTCACACCCAAAAAACCCTCATCACACCGCACACTGTCTGACACAATCACCCTCAGATACATGCATATCCCTCACACACGATCCTCAATCAAACAACTTGAAGCACACACCCTTCAAATACACGCACATCACACACACATACACCATCAAACATCTTACATGCTCACACACTCTCTCACACACTCTACGAGCGCACTCTCACACAACTCCACACGCACCTCACACATACACCTCACACGTCCCGCTTTCCCCATCCCCAGACAAGCACCTCAAACACACACCTCAGAAACACACAGCACATAAACTCTCACACATTCTCACACACGTAACGCACATCTCACACATTGACAATCACCCCTCTCACACTCAAACACACTCTCAGACACCTTGCACAAACGCTCAAATACACATACTCACATACACTCACACACCCACACATACCTTCACAATAACCTCAACACACACATAATTCGCACGCATCGCTCCCAAATACACCATCGCACATTTCACTTGCAAACCCTCAGACACAGGTTACATGCACAAAATCACTCAATCATGCCTCAACGACACACGCAACCCAAACACATCTCATACACATCCACTCACTGCTCCACAGACGAACATCTCACATAACCAGACACATCGCAAACGAAAACCTCTGAAATATATCCGCACACCCTACTCACACACCCCTCACCCACAGAAACACACATCATACGCACCTTTTACACATCCTCCACACACATCTACACCAACGGAACACAATCACACCCTTACCTTTACCTCACACACCCACAACTCCTACGCGCACGCACCTCAATAAAACTCAGTCCCCAAACACACCCTCACTTCACCCGGTTTTACACACGCTGATATCCCCCTCGCACACATACGTCTCCCGCACAACTGAAACACGCACGCTCAAACTCACACCGCCACTTCACACACTACCACCCACAGACACTCACACACACACTGCCTCACACGTACACTCACGTTCCTACGGACACGCAAACAGGACACCTACACACCAGTCTAACACACAAGCACACATGCAAACCCCACACGCACTGTTACACACACTACAAGCATGCAGCTCTCATACACGTATCCTCAATAGCCATTTGATTCACACACCTTATACAAACCATTCACACCTCCATCTCACACTCTAGGGAATATTGATCATGATAAGGAAACTCGCCGGTTGAGACAGCAAATGGAGACATTGGAAGCTCTGTTGATCACTAATAGAAACACAATGGCCGTGGTGGAGAAAAATCACCCTCTTCCACAACACCTGACAGTGAATAGAGGGCCTGGGACCTCCCCGCAGCCGGTGATAAGGTTCTGCGGTATCGTCACGGCCGGATGCCACTGTCAGTTACAATGAAGGCCACCGACAGGGAATGATAATAGATACGGGCTCCAGCGTTACAATCAAACATATTTTATCACCCTGTGATCAACCACTGAGTACAGGGAGGCTTGCTGCTTAACAGGCTTTACAGGGCAGGCTGCGCAGGCTGCTTTTATCTATAAGCAACACAAAAAAAAACAATTATAAACCACAATTAGCAAATTACATTGCTAATTATCAGACGCTATTTTTAAGTCCGTTTGAAATGAAATGAAAAGATACGCTGATCACCTCGGATTGTCAAGTTTGATTCAAAAACAGGTTAATTCAGAGATACAAAAACCTATTTCTTCACTGTCAAGGTGAGGACTTTTAGATGATATTTCTCATGCTTATTCTAATGGCTGTTTCTAATGTTTGTTTTTAAAATATTTTTTATTAATCTCCATCAACTTTTAGAGTATAATTTACGAATAATCCTTTAATAATGATGATTTGATTTAATGACTAGCTTAGAAGAGCTTAAAATTAGCTTGAGTGGACTTGTTGAATTCAACTTGTGATTACATTTCATCGTTTCCAGGGAAGTTGATCACTAACGTGAGCCAATCAGCTATCAGGCCCTGAATAATAATAATAATAATAATAATATAATAATCCTTGCATTTGATATAGCGCTTTTCACGTCGGGAGGACGTCCCAAAGCGCTTCACAGAACACACTGTAAAGTGAATTGACTGTATATTTGTGGGCGAACGCGGCAGCCAATTGCGCACAGCAATGTCCCACAAACAGTCGTAGATTGAAAATGACCAATTTATTATTGATTTTGGTTTTGGAGGGATTATTATTAGGCTCTGTGTGGAGTAAGGAAACTTGCCCAAGGTTTCGCCCTGCCTGGAATTGAACTCAGGTCTCTCACTTGCAAAGCGAGTGCTCTAACCACTGAGCTACAGGACTCCACAGATGTAAGCACAGATGAAGCACAGATGTAAGAACAATGGTTATCAGAAAGTAAAGACTACAAATTCCGACACCTGCCTATCTCAAAGCTGAAAAAAGGAGGCTGAAGGAGGCTGCCGCAATAATATTTGGCCATTTCTCGTTCGTCCTATCATTTCTCGTTCTTCCTATATTCCCCGGGGAAAATAGCCAGTGCCGGTTCGCTGGAAGTATGTGAAGCATGTGGGCTTCTTTCTATTTTACAAGTGGAGATCGAGTGAGAAACTCATCAATGAAAGCTGTAACTACCAGATATGTTGAGTCGACGAATCTTCCCAGGGGAATTGGGTGTATCGGTTGGATCTTGTCTAACTTAAAATAAGTAGACTATTACGGAAAGAATTGGAAAGAGCTACATAATTCACCAGTTCTGTGGATTGAGAATCATTATAAATTATTTGGAAACTATTTATATGATTGCTTATTGTGGGCATGGATATGTGAAGTACCGTATGCAGGAAGGGACCTTGGCGAATTGTTGGAATGTAGAAAATAATAATATTAATAATATTTATATGTGCATTTGAAATATCTTCGTATCACATCTTTCAGACGTCTGAATTCGGCGCTTCAGCGCATGTTGTTTAAGTGAATTGACTGCATCTAAACGTGGCAACACATTGCGTCCTCCTTCACTCGCAACTCTATTCCTGTGGCCATTGTAGCTCCTACACAATCTCCTGTGGTTCGGCTTGCCAAGCAAATGTGGCTGACAGTCAGAGAGTTGAACAATAAATACGGAATCAATGGGAGATTCGGGAATGTCACAAGTTTAAACAAGTTGTAAGCTGCCCAGGCGAGAGAAGCGTGATAACTTGTGTCATATTGACATCCTCATGTAAGTGCTCTGAGACCCTACCCTGCGTGGATGGCGCTGTAGAAGCGAAAGTTGTTCTTGTTGGATATTGTACAGATACAAAATACAACTTTATATTTTTCACAAATAAAATCGCACCAAATCCAAAACAAGTATCAGTCAGTAAATGTATTTACTGTCAACTCAAAGCGTCCAATCCATGAACAACACTACAAAAGTTTGTCCCACAAATAGGTTCATTTTTTATTTCCTGCCTCATCTCGTTAGCTTGTTCTCAATTGCATTTTACTTCTTAAAGCGATATCCTACAACACTCACACATACTCACTCACTCATTCACTCTCTGACTCATTCATTCAGTCACTCACTCACTCACACACACCACGCACATTCACAGACATATGGGATTTGTGTCTCTTTGTGTCTCTTTGTGTCTCTCCCTCTGGTTTCACCCACACACATTCACACACATACACACATAAAGACAAACATGCAGACAACCATCCAAACAAACGGACACACGTCCACATACAGACACACAAACGCACACACACATATGCACTCACAAACACATACACACTGTAGGCAGTGGCACTCCCACACAGAAACAAGATGAAAACTTTAAATGTGTCTGTCGAGTCACAGAGATATAAAAACTACTGGGAAAGCTTGTCAATGAAATAAGCTAAAAAATAGAATAAAAGGAAATGTCACTGCTTTCTTAATCTCCTCTCTGAATTTATTCTGGGTAACCGCGTAAATGCATGTGTTTGTACAGGAGCTCACAAGCTGCAGCATAAAGCCAGATTTCCAGATAATATACAAAGGGTCATTGTACCCTCTGAAGTCATATTTTATTGAAATCCTCCAGTATAGGAAATATAAAACATATGTCATCCATAATAATATAAAATTAGCGGAAACAGCAAAGAGTAAAATGATGGATTTCCTTCTGTTCCTCATCTCTGGATCACCATCACTCGCTCCTCTCTTCTTGTCCCCATCAGTGTGTCCCCGCAATCTACTGCGGGCTCGACTGGCCACCAGTATGTGCCTGACAGTCAGGGCATTGAGCAGCAAAATCAGAACAAACGGGAGAAACGGGGTTAATAATGGTTAGGAGGTGAGACACTATCCATGGGAGAGAAGTGTTGTTTTGAAGATACACCACCGCAGCATATTGTTTATTATGATCTTTTTTTCAAATGCAAAATACCAGGGAATGTTTTCAACAGAAAAAAACGCACTCAATACCGCTATCACTGTAAAAGTTGTTTTTTTCTGAACAATGTTTTCTTTTCAGAATTTGGCAACAAATATCGATCAAAGCTGAAAGTTACAGTTAACCAGACAGAAATTGCTCGTGTTGTCAAATCCAGTCCATATAGCAGCCGACAAACATGAGTGATGGATACGAACGAATTTGGGAAGTA